TGTGAAGGGTAACGTTGCTCTCCTGAAGTGCAGAGGGAGAGAGTTGGTGACTTCTTGTTATCCTCCAGCCTCCTGTGTGTCTGTGATTCTCTGCCTGGAAAGCATGTTAATAAACTACATGGCAGGAGGCTTTTTTTTTCTTTGTTAAAAGCCTTTCACACTGAATGTTTTCTAAATTGGCTGGGGGGTGGCAAGGAACCCAGTTAGTGCCTAATCCCCCAGCCCATCCTCTCAGCAAATGGCTTGTGAAAGTCATTAATTTCACTGTAATTGATTTAAACGTTGCTCAGGAGGAGGAAGAATTAAGGAAACCAATGCCACTCTGAATAGAGAATTATGTGTTCTCAATTTTCTTTCAAATTATCTCCCCACGTGCCTGTTGTGTGCTGAGCAAACACTGTGCCAGGGAGTCCCACAGCAAATCCCAGCTCACAGAACCTGAGATGAGCTCCAGCACCAGGGCAGGAGAGCCTGCAAAGGGCTTGGGTGGCTCCACCACCAAAACATGGGCACATGAGGCTTTGGGAAGTGGCCATGGAGAAGCACAGAGCTGGAGCTGCTGACAGCCTCCTTGAAATGGCACTGCTTGTGGTGGAACTGGGCTTTTTATGAGGCAGCCACCTGTTCCCCTTGCATTAGTCATTGCTACTACTGGATCCCCAGCTGTAAAGTAGTTTTAATTAAAATTATTTATTGCTCAGTAAGATTTCTCCCCTATTTTGGGTGTATCTTAGAAGATAACATTTTTTCCTTATCACTTCATCACTGGGCTTACACTTCAAAGGACTGTATCTGTGGATGTCACTGTGATCAGAATAGAGGATGTGGTTTTTAGCTGAGCCGTGACGTACAATCAGTGTATTTTTAAGCTGAGCTTAGCTTTATTTTGCATTTTTATTTATACCTCTGACAACTGAATGAGTGCCCTGGCTCCAAGCCATATCTCTCAATAATAATGATCTTTTCTTCAGATTCTTGGGAAGTGGCTTCTCCACCGTATTGTGCATGTTCTCTTGACATCTTAATGCAGTTTCTAGGTCACTGAGCTAAGAAAAGACTTTAGGTGCCACTAAAGCCTCCTTAAAGGAGAACCAGCCACAGGCTGGCCAGCTTGATGGCACTTACAGAAATCAATTATTGTCATGTACTCCTTCACGCTGTGCCAGAGCAGTTAAAGCTGGAGCAGTGTGATCAGGTTTCCCTCCCTCTGCAGGACTTTCCATGCTCCTGCCCTCAGACCACCTGTGAGAATGGATGTTGCTCATGGACCCATCAGGTGTTCAGGTCTGTATGGGAAGCTGAGGACTCCCTGCAGGTCTCACCTGGCACCCGCTGGGTAGGAGTAACTCAGTGTTTCAGAATCCTGGGAAGGCTGAGGGGTGACAGCAGGAGCACTGGGGGGTGAAGATGTCTCAGTGTGCAGGTGGAGGTTGGCCTGGCCTTTTCCAGCCTGGAGAAACTGCTTCACTGCCTCTGGGGGAGTTCACCTGGGAGGAGCTGCCAGGGAAGGAGGGGTGTGTGTGTGTCCCCAGGAGCTCCTCTCCCCACTGCCCTGCTGGACCTGTGTGCCCAAGGGAGGCAGGACAGCTGCAGTGCCCCCTGCTTGTGGTGTTGGATCCTCAGCCCCTCCAAACTGGGCTGGGATTCTCCTGTGTGGATACTGCATGGATGAAAAAAACCTGGCAGCTCACATCAGCAAACTAATCCATGAGCACCCCGAGATGTTTGAAGGACTCTGTTCCTTATATGCTTCAAGTGCCCCAAAGAGAAGGTGCAGGATCAGGGCTGGGAGGGTTCTGGTAGCCCCAAGCCCTCTCTCTCTGCTGCCCTGTGTGGAGCAGTAGTCCATGAGCTGGGTGGAACAGTGAGAAACTGAGCTCTGGCCAAGAGAAACAGAGAAAATATTTGGTGTGGTTCCTCTTTCTGCTCCCTTATCCTTCCTTTTCTCAGTTCACCTCTGCAGCCTGTGCCAAAGAACTGCTGCTGCCAACAGGACAGGCTCTTTCCCCTTCTCTGGGGAAAGGGAGTGGAGCCTGGTGTCTTGCACCTGCACAAATTAATATGTATCCTTTCTGCCAGGAGATGAGGCTGAACACTCGACACCTGCCAGACTGAACAGAGCAGTGCTGGTGATGGATGGTCATCTGCTGGTCCTCAGAGGAGGCTGTGGGGCCAGGCCCCACTCCTGGGGCAGTGGGACACTGCACTGTCCTCCAGGAGACAAAGCCACCTTGTGAGAGGGACAGACTGCCAGTGCACCCTCTGGCATCCAGAAACTGAGGTGCACAAGTACGTTTTTTTCCCCCCATGCTCTCAGGAGTTGAAACTGAGCTCAACTGAATGCTGGCTGCACTCACTGCCCCAAGGCAGTGGCAGCGTCCCAGAGGAGCTGCAGGGCCATGGACACGGGGGTGTGGCTGGTGATGGGCCCTGTGGCTGGTGATGGGCACTGTGGCTGGTGATGGGCACTGTGGCTGGCAGCAGTGGCATGGGCAGGAGGACAGAAGGCAGCTCTCTGCAGCACAGGGCCTTGGAGATACCTTTTTAAGCCAAAATCTGTCTCTTGCCTCTCCCAGTGCCTGCCATGGGCTCTGGCATGGTATCAGCAGCTTTGTGTCCTTGCTGGTGGCTGTCCTCTCAGCCTGGGGGGGCTGACCCACAGCACTCAGGGGTGCTTCCTGCAGGCAGAGCTGTGTTCCTGTTTTCCAGAGCATTTCAGCTCCCTCTGCTCCAGACATCTGCTCAGTGCAGCCAGGGCTGTGTGTGGGAACGGCACATGGTGGGATGCTCTGGCTGCCCTCAGTGCTGTGGGAAGCCCCACATTTCAGGACTCAGCTGTGCCCCAGGTCCCAGTTTGTGCAGTGGGAGTTGACAGTGCCCATGGCCACAGCTGGATGAGCAGAACGAGCAGCCATGGGCTGTGCCAGGAGCTGATGGCCTGGGCAGGCTACAAGATTGGGTTGTGAGTGTCACCGTGTCATGTTGGTGATTGCTGTGCCTGGGAAAGGGGAGGTCACAGCCCCTTTCCTATCTGCATCCCTGCTTTTTGTGTGAGTGCTCTGCTTTCAGAAGGTCTGGAGCTACAGCCTGTGCTGGCATGCACTGTGCTCTTACCTGGTGTCTTTTCAGCCGTGGTTATTGAAACCCTGAGGTGAAAAATGAGCTGCTCCTTTGTTAGCCTGTCCCTGTGCTTTGTTGCAGTGCTGAGGCAGCGGTGGTTGCGCTGTTCTGTGTGAAGGTGCAGTGTGTGTGTGTGATGCGGCAGGACAGAGCCTCCATCTCCTGGTGGCACAGGCACATGGCAGCCGGCTCTGCCTGCAGGAGCTGTCCAGGACAGGGACCCAGTGCTGGCCCAGGAGGCTGAGGGAGGATTTGGGGTGTGGGGGGGTCCTGCCAGGCCCAGCCCCTCTAGCTCAGGTTTATCCTCAGTCCCCTTGGGCTGCCAGGCCAGGGAAGCAGGCTCTGCTTGGGTTCTCTCTCCAAAACTTAGAAATTTTTGTCCTCATCCTGAAGAAGATTCTCACAAGGTTATGTTAGTGCATTCCTGCCCAATGAAGCCTCAGCACCATGCAGCATATTTTTCCAAGGTTTACTGGAAGTGAGGAGCTACCACACAGGCAGTTTCAGGAGAGGGTAGCTTAGGGATTTTCTCTGATACAGCCACTGGTACTGGGCTCAGCAGGTTCACACTCTCCCAAGGGTACAGAACTGAATCTGGAGTCCCCCAGAATGCCACATTCAAAGTATTTTTCACAAGTAGTAAAGAAAGTTCTCAGCACTGCAGCTGCAGCTGGAGGCCCAGGGATTTCTCCTTTCAAGATTTGCCCCTTCTGTCACTTTTCTCCCCTCTGGGCTCCTTGTGAGTGTCAAGTATCTGGAACAAAGGGAGACTTCATACAGACATTCAGTTTCTGTTTTGTAAATGATTTTAAAATATTTACAAGGAAATTGCAAATGGATCTGAGCAAAGACAGGAAATGACCACAAAAGAGAAAAGAACAAGACAGGGTGAGGTGGAGCAGTGCCAGCAGCCCTGCGGGCACTGCCAGGCTGTTATTCACCCCTCAGTGCACTGCCAGCCCTTGCCCACGGCAGCTGGGGACACTGGCCCGTGGCTGATGGGCTGGGGGACACTGCTGTGCTGCTCAGGCTGTGGCCCTGCTCTCTGCTGGCTCTGTGGTTTAATTTAAGGTGGCAGAGCCACCTCCAGAGTCCTGCAAAGAGCCAGCTGCATGTGCAGGGCCTGTGAGCTGCTGGCACAGCGTGCTTTGGCCCAGGCCTGCCTGCAGTTCCTGATGTGCTCACAGAGAGCCAGCACTTCCCAGTGTCAAGTGCTCTCACATTTGGAAATGTGCAAGTCTTCTCCCAGGACTATTCTGCTTTCCAATGATACCAGCTGGGAAGGTTCTGTGTCCAGGGCCTCACTGTGCATCCCCCGGGAAGCTGGAGGTGCAGTGTGTGGGGACACCTGTGTCTGCAGGACAGTGGCAGGGAACCTTCCAGAAGGGCATGGTGGTGGCACTGATGGCAGACATGCACCATGTCAGGGCCCAGGTCATAGCTGGTGGACAGCCCGAGATGTCCTTGTGGCTGAGTGGGATGGTGCTCTCAGGTTTTCCCCAGAAGCCTGAGCTCAGACACAGCCTGGGACACTGCAGCTGCCCCGGAGCTCCTGTCCCTCAGCAGGGAGGAGGAGCAGGGGAACGAGGGACAGTGAGGGGAAATGGCTGGGGAAGGAGGGGCACTGAGGGGGAAATGGCTGGGAAAGGAGGGACACTGAGGGGGAAATGGCTGAGGAAGGAGGGGCAGTGAGAGGGGAAATGGCTGGGGAAGGAGGGACGCTGAGGGGAAATGGCTTTTCCTGGTCCATTCCCTAGGGGCCTCTCAGATCACTGCCAGCTCCTTGAGCCCAGGGGAGCGGGAGCTCACCCCATGCCCCTGAGCAGCCTGTGCTGACTCTGTCCTGTCCCCCCCGTGCTGACTGTGTCCTGTCCCCCCAGGTGTCCCTCAGCCAGGAGTGCACCCGCGCCATCATGAAGCTGATGTACTGCCCGCACTGCCGCGGCATGGCCAGCGTGAGGCCCTGCAACAACTACTGCCTGAACGTCGTCAAGGGCTGCCTGGCCAACCAGGCCGACCTCAGCACCGAGTGGAAGTACCTCATGGGTGAGATGGCCTCTCCCTGCTGCAGCTGCCCCTCATCACCCCTGGGCTCCCTGAGGCTGTGTTGGGCAAGCAGAGGGGACGGTGGGAGGCTCAGGGGAGTTGCTTGCCCTGGTGAAGCTCTCAGAGCTCCTTGTGCCCACATAGCATCGCCCAGCAAGCTCCTCTCTCTTTGTCCCGCCGTGCCTGCACAGCTGGAGGGATCTGAGCCCTGAGGGAGCCTTGCTGCTTGTCTGGGCTCAGGGAGGGCAGCACCAGAGGACATGGCCTTGGCCTTGGCAGCAAAGCTGCCAGCTCAGCCCCAGCTGCAGCCCCCAGGCTGGCTCGGGGTTGGCATTAAGGACAAAACCCCACAAAGTCAAGGAGTGCCACCTGCCTCTCGAGGGACACTGCAGCACGGATGGGGAGGCAGCAGGCACTGCTGGAGAGGTGCCCAGGCCAGCTGTGCCACCACTAACTGAAATGCTCTGTGGGACCAGCTGGGAGCCTGCTGCACAGGAGGGGAGGAATTGTCCCTTCCCCAGGGCTTTGGTGGCCCTTTGGCCTTTCTGAGCAAAGCCAGCCAACTGTTCTGTCACTCTCTCCTGGCAGTGACAGCCTCTCCTGGAACACTGCTGTACAGCTTTCCTTGATTGACAGGGAAGCAGTTCATGTGCATTTTGCATTTATTCTGGCTTCCTCTTCCCAAGAGACACTGTCAGGGGGTGACAGCTAGGAGGAAATTGGAGCTTCTTTCAAATTGCAGTTTTACATTTCAGTGTCAGAGGTCACAGACTGATCAAGGATGGGAGCAAATTATGGAGTCAAAGGCAGCAGTTCACTGGTGGTGTCCTTCCTTCACCCTTCTCCAGGCCCTTCTGTGTAGCCAGAGATGATTTTGTTACACTAAAACCAGAGTTTCTCTTTCAATTTGACAAATTAGGGCAGGTCAAATTAAGGGAGATTTTTATAGTAAGTGGTTCAGATACAATTTTTCACTGTTTAGAGCTGCAACCTTTGATTTAAATGTTTGTATCTCAAGATAAGTGCTTCTGCAAGGCACTATTTGTCTGAAATACACAGTCTCAAAGATGACACCACAACCCCTCAGTGGCAGCAAAGTTAAACTGCAAGCTTTTCTGCAAGTGTTACAGGAGATTTTATTTACCAGAATACAAAAAGTTAGCAAAATTTACCCCCTTATATTGAGAGCATATCAGCTGTCCTTCCTTCAGACCCAGCTGGATTGTTGAGAATTGTCTCTGGGGGTAGGCAGAGATTGGTAATTCTTTGTAAGCTGTGGGAAATGGATTTATAGAAAATTCTATACAGTAATCCAACCATCCAAAATCCAGCAGTATCCAAGCACAGTCCCAAAGCAGCCATGCAAGCAGGGGCCTCCAGGGCAGGTGGGAGTGCTGGGACAGCAGAGCTTTCCAGAGGAGCTGAGGCAGCCCTCAGTCACTCCCTGTGCTGTTTACCAGTTAATACTGGTCTGCTTGTGTACCTGTATAGCCTGATACCTCCCTGGCTGCTGTCCTTCCACAGGTGGAGGTGACCAGAATTACTGCTTTTCTCCCTTCTTCCCTGCCACAGAAGCCATTTCCCACACCCACTGTCCCTGGCACCTTACTGACCCCAGTTCTCCCATTTTCTCTTGGCTGCAGTGCTTTGCTGAAGACATGCACTGAGTCAGAAGGGTGAGGGCCAAGTATTGCTGTTTCTTAATAATTCTGCATGAGTTTTGTGGTCTTCCTTTCTGTATCCCCCAGGGAAATGCTGGTTACTTTGGGTGAACACTACCCAAAGTGTATTTCCCATTTGCAGGAGGTTCCTTTGCCACAGAGAGTGGCTTTGCCTACAAAAGGTAGGAAAAACAAAAAGTAGGGAAAACAAGAGTGCACCTGGGCAGTGGTGAACATGGAGAGGTGTCTCCCAGCAAGGAGACCTGCCAAGGGCTCAGCAGCTTCTCCCACCCAGGATGAGCTGTCTGTGCCTTGCTGTGCCCAGAGTGGTGGTGAGAGCTGTGCCTCCTTGCTCTGCAGATTCCCTCATGGGGGTGGCCGACCGCATCGACGGGCCCTACAACGTGGACACTGTCATTGGCACCATCCACATGAGGATTGCTGAAGCCATCTCCAACCTGCAGGAGAACAAGGATTCCATCACAAGCAAGGTAAGAGAGTGTGCCTGGGCCTGCCTGAGGACACATCATGTGCCACTGCCAGGACCAGGTGCTCTTTGGTGCTCACTCTTCAGCTGAACTGGTGTTGCTGGGCTTGCAAGGGTTGCAGGGTGAACAGAGAGGCAAGAATCTTGACCTCATGTTCAGAAGGCTTCATTTATTATTTTATGATATATATATTACATTATTACTGTGCTAAAAGGAATATAGAGAAAGGTTCTCAGAATGCTAGCAAGCTAAGAATAGAAAAGGAATGAATAAACAAAGGAGCTGTCTCTGATTCTGTCCCAGAGAGAGCTCGGCCTGTGATTGGCCCTTAATTGTACACATGCAACATGGGCCAATCACAGATGCACCTGTTGCATTCCACAGCAGCAGACAACCATTGTCTACTTTCTTTTTCTGGGGCCTCAGCTTCCCAGAAGGAAAAAATCCCAAAGAAAGGATTTTTCACAAAAGATGTCTGTGACAAACTGGGAGAGAGGAAGAGTGAGAGAGAGCAAATGCCCTCTCTTTTAATGATAAATTACCTCGGTTTCTTACCACCCATCTGACACAGGCAGAATTGTTTTCTCCACCTTTGCAGGTGCTCCCTGCCACATCCAGGCAGCCTCCTTTGGGTACAGGCACAGGAGGTGGGACTGCATACACAGTGATGGGGGGTGCATGTGCCATTTGCAGTCAGGGCCCTCTGTGCTGAAGAGTTTTGAGCTGTTTTGGCTGAGCTGAGGCGTTTACACCGAGTGCACAGTCCCCAGTGACAGGAGGCAGCTGCTCTAACCTGCCCCGAGGGGATCTCCTGCAGTGGGAACACTGGGCTGTCAGGTGGTGCCAGGGGACAGAGCTGCAATCTGGCAGTCCATCTGGAGAGTACAAACCAGGCTCTCCCGAGGCTCACCTGTCTCCCAAGAAGTATGTATCATGAAGGTCTCTTCTGTTGCTCTTCTATTTTTAGTGTATTTATCCACTTAACCACAGTCACCTCTGTAGCTGCAGGTGAGAGCAGCCTTGGGAACAAAAGCAGCCCTGCAGGGCTCCTGTCTTCTGCCCTGACACTCCCCAGGTCCTGCAGCTATCCCACAGACAGGGCAGAGATGCAGATGAAAGAAGTGGGACAGGTCCTAACTGGGTTTTGGATAAGGGAAGGGCCAGAAGTGCTGCTTGGCAAACAGGAATTCACTGGCACACATCAAAGCACTACCAGCTGATGCATCCAAGTGCTGGGTTAGGTTTCTTTTCTGACATGAAAGGCAATGTTCTTTCTTCCCTCATTAGGGGAGACTGAGGCTTTCCACATAAAAGCAAATCCATGGTGTGGGAAAACATAGCATCATCTGCAAAGAAAGGTGTTTCCAAGGGGAATACAGTAAATCTGGTGACATGAAAGGGGCTAAACAGTCCAACTGGTGTTTGGAGCAACCAAACAGGATTGATAAGCTCCTCAGTATGACTGGTGACCAGGTGAATGGAGCAGGAGCACTCTGCTGGTGGCACAGCTAGCAGAGGGCAGCAGCTGCCAAGCTCTGAGCTCTGGTTTTGAGCATGGCAAGGCCATCAGATGGAGGATGGTGTTGTGGCTGAGTTCAGGGCTGGCCATCTCAGAGGCAGGGCCATGACCCAGGCCAAGGGCGCTGCTGTTAAGGTATCCTCCCAGTGTGAGCAGTCAGGAGGCGTCTGGCAGCCACTCTCCCACCACCATGCTGTCCCTGCAGCCCCTGGGAGTGGCAGGTCACATCCCCAGGTCCCTGCTTGCCTCCTGCACCCCACTCACACAGCCACACCAGGTCTCCTCACTGCTTCCACCCCAGGTTTCCCATGGCAGTCTCAGACCTCTCCTTCCATAAAGCAATTCATTCACAGCACAGTAACACAAATAAAACTTGAGCTGGTGCCTCTGGGGACAACAAAGGAACTCCTGGGCTTTTATCCCCTCACAGTCCAAGCATGCAGAAGTCTCACCCAGCCCTCTCAGTGCCTGGTCACTGGCTGGTGCCACAGGTCCTGTGCCCTTTGTTATGCCAAGGGTGGGCAGCTCACAGCCCACCTGCACAGAGTGCCCTCCTCCCCACAGAATGCCTTCTTGGAGAGGAGCCAGGAGTGGCCCTTGCCCCAGTGCCACCCTGTCACAGGCTGTCCTGGCATCTGGGTGTGTTGGAGAGGATGAAACAAGAAAGCTTTTTAAATATGACTGCTTGGCAAAAGATTTTGAGAATATAGAAACTATATTGGCTTCAAAGAGATCTCGTCTCCGTCTGTCCCTACCGTGCGTGACCCTCATCGCCTACATGGGTGAAGCTCTAGAGAAGCACTTGTGGTACCAAGCCTTGTGTTCAGGGCACCATGGAGCCCTCCCTGCTTCCTCACACTTCCCTTTCTCCCTGTGGCTCTCATGGATTTCAGGCAGCAGGAGCTGTCAGAGGCTGCAAATGCCTGTTTGCTCTCGTTATTCAGGGACCGTTGGCCCCTCAGTCTGCAGCAGTTGTTTTCTCCAGCAGCAGTTTGCATCTCTCACCTGAAGCATTTAAAGTGACAAGAGGTTCACCTTGGTACCACCCTGTGCTGGAGCTGTCCCTGTCCTGGACACCTCCCCAGATTTTATCTCCTGGGAAGGGGCCAGCAAGATACAGCAGTGAAACCAAGATTTTGTTTTGGTAGAACCAAGTTGAAAATGCTCTGCGTGCACTTTTCAGGGTAGGTTTTTGCACAGAGCTAATGAGACTGATGAACAAACAAAGTGGCTTGGTGCTGAACTGCTGCAGTCATCAGATGCATCTGGCCAGCAGGACAGGGCACCAGGAGGGCCTTTGGAGGCTGAGTGTCCCTCAAACACAGGGACAGGGGCTCCTGGCCAGGTTGGCACTTGGCTGAGCCAGCACCTTCAGCAGGTGGCACGAGCTGTGTCAGCAGAGCTCTGCCTGGCCCTGCCTCCTCTGCTTCAAGAGGACACCAGGCAAGGTTTATCAACAGCTTCTGACAGCAGCCTGGCACCACAACGAGCTTGGAGCCCTCTTTTCAAATCAGGCAGCTTCCTTTGTAAAGGCTGGCCCATCCTGACTCAGACTGACTGTGCCAAGTCCCTGCTGAGCTCTGGTGCTTTGTCCCTCTGAGCTCTCCTGGCACCAGTGGGGCTCAGCTGCCCAGCCCTGGTGATCTGCTGATGCAGAGGCTGGGAGAAGCTGGATTCTCCACCCTTCACCTCACCCTAGAGGCCAGGTATGAGGGTTTGGACTTTCCCAGTGCTTCTGCTTCTCTCTGGCCACAAAGCCCACCTGGGCAGGTCATTAGGGTGATAGGAGGTGCCTGAAGAGAGCAGATAAATCAGCTCTGCTGCCTCATGTGCCTCTGAAGCATTCAACCTGACAGACTGTGGCACATCTGCTGTCCTGCAGTGCCCTGTTGGAGGCACACTGATTTCCCAAGTGGGGATGTTGATTGCAGGAGCCATGGGGATAGGCCCACATCAGTCTGTTGTCCATCAGTGAAGCTCCCATGCTCTGTAGTCTCAAAGCCCACACCACTGATGCAATGAGTGTGAGCAACTCCCATCTTTTTCTTCCCAGGATTTTATTTTCCAGTCATAAGAAGAACAGATAAAATTGCTATAAATAATTTAATATCAATATTGGCGACTCATCCAAAAACATGTGTTACTGCTGAATATTTTGCTTGATAGTGGTAACCAAAACCAGTTACAATGTGCTGAAAACACATCTGGCACTAAAAACTAAGCCAGAATCTCTGAGAATCTTGGCAATAGGAAGGATAAATATACTTAAGAAGGAAAAAACCCCATAACTGTGGAGTGTTAAATAATTAAAGGAATGGCATTGAAACATGGGATAGAGAGTTTGGTTTGTTTTTCAGGTGTTCCAAGGCTGTGGAAATCCCAAAATCAGCACAAAAGGCTCCAGTAGTGAGGACAAGAAGAGACGGGGGAAAGTGACATTGGAAGCCAAGTCCTCTGCCCAGGCCCTGGAGATGCTGGTGGGTTTGAGCCTGGAGCTGCTCTGGGTCCTGCAGGCTGTGCTGGGGCTGGAGAAGATCAGATCATCGGGGGCTGCTGTAACCCAGCACACCTGCTCTTCTTGCCTCTGCAGGGTTGGGTCTAATAACCAATAGATAACCAATTTGCTGATAAGCAATTTCCCAGGGATTTGGTGCCAGACTTACCTGAAGAGGCTCCTGGTCTGATGGTCTTCTCCTGGTTGGTCTTGTGGTACTGGAGCAGTGCTTGGCATGTAACCTTTAGCCTTGGGCCCTTGGCTTGGTGATTGCTCTTTAGGGGAAGGTTGATGATACGTCCTATTTTGCATGAAAACAGATTTTGTGATGGTAAAACAAAAAATATGCAGAATCCTTGTACTTTCCTCTGCCCCGGGGCACCCCAGAGCTCCTGTGGCCCTGAGCATCCCCTTTGCTTACAGGTTTTAGATGCCAAAGGGAATCTGACAGCTCTCAAGACATACTGGATCACCCTGCCCAGCAGCCTGTGCAGCAAAAAAGTAATGGCCAGCTCAGCTTCAGATGACAAATGTTGGAATGGGATGACCAAGGGCAGGTATGGAGTGGCTCACAGTGCCAGGAGCACCAGCCTGGCTGAGAGGAAGGGTTTGAAAAGGCACTTACACATCATCACAGCCAGCCCTGCTTGTTCAGAGTGAGCAGTCTGTGCCTTTCCATAGAAATGCTGCATTTCCAGAAATGCTCGTACCTGGGAATGGCAAGCCTGGTGTGGTTTTGCTGTGTGTTGAGGGTTAAGCACTGAAATGCACTCAGCATGAAATAACTGTGCAGTTTTCTACCAAGGAAGCAGTTCTGCAATTCCACATGCACTCAGAAGGCAGCAGGGCTGGATTTGCCACACAAGCTGCAGAGAATTGCACACACATCCCTCTCTCCATACCTGCTCTCAGGGGGGACACCTGGGTGACATTAAACAGCTGCAGAAACAGGTCCTACCCCAGCCAAGGTTAAAGGATGGCTGAGGGGACATTGGCAGCTGCTGGACCTTTCTCCTCTTCTCTCTGCAGTCCTCTTGGGCTTGGCTTTGCCAGCCTGAAGTCAACACCTTCAGTTCTTCCCTATTTCACATTGTTGCCAGCAGTGTCCCGGATCTGCAGGAGCAGGAGGACCAGGGCACTGTGGAAGGCAGCAGTGCAGCTCTGGTTGACAGCTCCCAGCTAATTAATCTTCCCTGGGAGCCAGTCTGGTCAAACTGGGCTGGGGCCATTCAGTGGTCCCAGGGGTCAGTCCCCACAGGGTTTAACCAAGCAGGGATTAAAATGCTCCTCAGCCTCCCATATGGACAGAGATTTTCCATCGGGGAGCGTCACTGTGGGCCCACTGGTACCAGCCTGAGAGCAAGCCCTGTGCCTTTCCTGCAGGAAATCCCTCCCCATGCTGGGACAGAGGTGCTGCAAGGCCACCCAGGCACCTCCTGCAAGCTGAGACCCCTCTGCTGGGGTCTGGCCATCCAGAGAGCTGGGCTGCCCAGCAAACACCAGCTGCAGGGGCTGTTCCAGAGGTGGCACTGGCTGCAGCCTCTCTGGGGCTCACAGAGCCTGGGTTATCCCTGGTGTCTGCAGGGAGAACTGAGCTCAGCTGAGCTGAGCTGGGGGCAGACATCTAAACCTTCTGCCTTCCTTCCCAGTTACCTGCCCGAGGTGATGGGGGATGGCCTGGCTAACCAGATTAACAACCCAGAGGTGGAGGTGGACATCACCAAGCCAGACATGACCATCCGCCAGCAAATCATGCAGCTCAAGATCATGACAAACCGCCTGGGCAACGCCAACATCGGCAACGATGTGGATTTCCAGGACACCAGTGAGTGCAGCACAGCCACAGGGGTTCAGGGGGGGTCAGGGGGGGCAAGCAGTCCTGCAGCCTGCACAGTGTCCCTGCAGCCTGCACAGTGTCCCTGCAGCCTGCAAGGTGTCCCTGCAGCCTTCACAGTGTCCCTGCAGCCTGCACAGATGTCCCTGCAGCCTGCACAGGTGTCCCTGCAGCCTGCAGTGTTCCTGCAGCCTGCACAGTGTCCCTGCAGATGGGGGCAGGTCTTTTGATCTGGCTTTTGGCCTGGGGGCAGGGAGGGGCTGCTTGAGTGCAGATAGTTTGTGGGGTGGCTGGAGGCTGAGCTGCTCCCAGTGCCTCACTGAAACCTGCAGGGCTGTCTCCAGTGCCAGCCCTGCTGACAGGGCCATTGCTCTGTCTGCTCCAGAGTTTGCAGCTGCTGCAGCAGCAGTGACTAAAACCAGCAGGAGGTCAGGTATGGGCTTGTATCCCACGCTGGGGGATGCAGAGAGGAGGGGGTGGCCAGGGTAGGGCTGGTGGCCACAGCTCCCCGGCATTGCAGTAAGGGGAGAGGGCCATGCCCACCCTAAGGAAAGCAGTGTGTGTGCAGTGTGTGTGCAGCGTGTGCTGTGTGTGTGCTGTCTGTGTGCAGTCTGTGTGCAGTGTGTGTGCTGTGATGTGCAGTGTGCAGTGTGTGCAGTGTGTGTGTGCAGAGTGTGTGTGGTGTTCAGTGTGTGTGCAGTGTGTGCTGTGATGTGCAGTGTGCAGTCTGTGCAGTGTGCATGCAGTGTGTGCTCACCCCACGCTGTCTCTGCAATAAGGAAAGCAGTGTGTGTGCACTGTGTGCAGTGTGTGTGTGCAGTGTGTGTGCACTGTGTGCAGTGTGTGTGCAGTGTGTGTGTGCACTGTGTGCACTGTGTGCAGTGTGTGTGTGCAGTGTGTGTGCACTGTGTGCAGTGTGTGTGCAGTCTGTGTGTGCAGTCTGTGTGCAGTCTGTGTGCAGTGCGTGCTCACCCCACGCTGTCTCTGCACAGGTGACGACATGAGCGGCTCCGGGAGCGGGGACAGCTGTCCTGATGACGTCTGTGGCAAAAGACTTTCTAAGAGCCCCAGCACCAGGCAGCCAGAAACACACGCCATTCCTAAGCAGTCCGGACACGGCGTCCATGGGGCCGGCAGCAGATCTTTGCCTTCTGCCTCCCTCCTCCTCCTCCTCCTCTGGCTGGCTGCCATCGCCCCGCAGCACTTGTGGCGGTAACTCGCTGGCACAGCCAGGACACAGACTGCGGCTGAGGGCTTCACTTTGCCAAAACCAACAACCAACAACCAACCAACCAAAGGACGTATTTAATTCACCTTGGCAAAAAAAAAAAAAAAAAAAAAAAAAAAAAAAAAAAAAAAAAAAAAAAAAAAAAAAAAAAAAAAAAAAAAAAAGGAAAAAAAAAGGAGGAGAAAAAGGTTTTCAGAAGGTTTCAGTTGTTTGCTATTTCTGGCAGTGCTCGAGCTGTTTTCTTCTTTCTAGGTCTTTCCCCAATGCTGGGCCCTTCTTTCCATACCTCATTGTTTTACTTTTGTTATAGCCACAACCTGGCTCCTGGGGCTGGAGCCGGCCTCTGCAGAGGGCTCCGGAGAGCCGGGCCGAGCCCTCGCGGGCAGCTGTGCTGCTGCTCGGTGGAATATGCAATTGCCCCGCCCCTGCCCCGCCTCGGCACGGCCGTGCTGCCTCAGGGGCTCGCTGGGCTCTTCCTCTGTGCTTCCTAGCTGGGCAGAGATGGCCCTTCACCTCCGGTGGGCTACACAGGAGCGTGAGCAGCTTTGGTGGGTTGAACTGAACGAGTTTGGCAGCGGCTGTTGGACCCAAAAATGCAGAACTCGCTTTTCTTTGGAAAGGTCACAAGTGGGTTTCTTGACTAGAGCTCGTAGCTGAGGACAATTTGAAATGTAGGTTTCCTACATCTACGTGACTGGGAATGAGTGTTAGGGGTTGGGGTTTGGGTACTTTTTCTTTGCATGCTAGTTGGAAAGCCATTTTTTACCCAAGTAACAATGGTCCAGTTTGTACCTGCAGTGCAGTACCATTGTAGGTAACAGAGAGATGCAGATGTGCACAGTGGGATTCTCTGTGTGCCAGACAGCTGTGCTGCCTCCTCCTTCTCTGGCCCCAGCCATAGACAGGAATCCAGGTTTTTTTCTTGGTAATGAGAGACAGCAGGGACATTTTACTAACTGGAGCTTTGGGACTGGTTGTGCCCCTTCAAGCAGCTGCCTTAGGGCAGAGAGGGGCTGCTGGGGACCACCATGGGCCATACCCAGGGCACTGGCTCAGGGGGGAATGTGAAAAAGGAAACATTTTGTTTGGGATTTCTTTTTACCTTTGGTGTTTGTTTCAGTTGTACTGTAGGTTTTTAATGGATTCCACTTTCCCTGTTCCTTCCCTACGATCCAGTTCACCTTCCCTAACCCCTGCAGGCACGGGCTGAGCCAGCAGGTCAGACAGCCCTGGCAGCTCTGTTTGGGCTCAGGGGAGGGCCAGGCTCACCCTTTGCTCCCATCCCACCACTCACAGCCTTTGGGTGATGTGGCAGCTGCCCTAAGCCCAAATTGCTCTGTGGGGTGGGCTCTGGGCCAGGTGTGAGACTGGGGGTAGTGGGTGAAGTTACAAATGTCCTCCTGTGGCTGTAGGAGTGTCTGTGCTTGTTAGGGCTCTGTGCTGGGGCTTCCAGAGGCTTCTGTGCCTGCTGAGCAGCAGGCCTGGGCTGGAGCCCCAGGTGTGGCAGGGGCTGGTACAGCACAGTCCCTGTGGCTGCCTGGGCCAGCAGCACTCCCAGCTTGGGTTTGAGCTCAGGTTTGTGCTGGGCTGAGAGGGAGGGCACAGCTGGGCTGTCTCCTGCTTTTGCACAGCATCTCAGCATTTCTGCTCTGTCGCCAGAGGATATGTGCCTTTGGGCTGAGCAAACATTGGGGTTGGCCTTTGGCTGTTTTCTAAGAAAGGGGAAAAAAACCCCCAATTTTTAACATGAGCAGTTTCTGAAGTGTGCAATTTAAGGAAAGATGAGGACATGAGCAAGGTAATGCTGAAAGGCAGCTCATTCCCTGCCCTCCCTGGGGCACTGAGGGTGCCTCAGAATAGGCAGAGCTTTCAGGCCAGCTCTGCCAGCCTCTCCAAGCCACAGTGATCGATGTCACTGACTGTGCGTCCTTTCTGCCGCGGCCTCACCTCCCTGAAAGGCAAAAATCCTCATCTGCTTGGGTGTCAGAAATGAACACTGGCTGCTGGACAATGGCTGAAGGACAGACAGTGCCACTGCACCCCTCAGAAACCTGCAGAGGATCAATGTAAGCAGTGGTTTTGTCTAGATTTATTTACTGCTAGACATGTGGCAAATTCACATGATTTTTACTGCTCTAAAGAGTTCCTATCTTTTCTTTTTAACTTTTTAAATCAGAATTGTAATTATAAATTTAATCTTCAGTTCCAACAATCCCCACAACCAATTCTGCAGAAGCTTTACATCCAAAGGGAAAAAAAAAAAAAAACTGGGGGGGGGAGGGAGGAAAAATTAAAACATTGTATTCTCATCAAAACACGGCTGGGTTGGGGCTTTAACACGTGGATGCTGAGGTCAGTGGTTTGCTTTGCAGAATGGGAGCTTGAAAGTCACTTCCATTTCTGTGCAATTACTTTTTGCTGCCTGCCTGTTATCCTCAAGAGCTTCTTATGGGCCCCTTCACATCTTAAATGTGAAGCCAGGAATTTACTGATTATCCAGTTAGTGTTTTAACAATTTAATAGCCCCAACTAGTGGTTCTGTTACAAGATAAAAACCTGATAGTGCAAATTAATAAGGCAAAACCTCGAAGAAGCAGTAAAATCTGTTCTGCAGGGGAAACCCTTCCTGAAGCCTTCACCTGGGCTGGGGTTGAGCTGCCACCTCCACATCCCTCGTGGCCCTTGCAGAGGCCAGGCCAGGTGAGGCAGGAGAGCAGCCTGAGGTGGGGCAGGGCAGGGCTCAGCCCCTCTGGGCCCGGCAGTGCTCACTGGTGGCCCTGTGGGTTCACTTTTCCATCTGCCCATGGTCAGCCCGCACTGCTGCTTTTTGCTGCTCCCTGGGTGCTCAGTGGTTCTGCTCTCCCCTGCCTTGAGGGTGTTTCCCCAGCTGCTGCCATGAAGTGCCCTGGGGTTGTTTGGCTGTGCCGCCTTCCCCGGGAGCTGCAGTGGCTGAAAGCCCCCAGGATATCAACTCCAAACTAAAGCAAACTGAAACTCCTGCTGACTGAACTCCCACTGGTGTGGCTGAACAAGCTGAAATCAACCCAGGTCCAGACAAGTCCCGAGCCTGTGGTTGGGCTGCTGCACAACCTGGGGCCTTTCAGTGCTTCTAAATGACATTTCCTGGGCTGCTGCCTGCTGGAAAACACTGTGACACCTCCCCGTGGCTGCTCTGGGCTGGCTGCATGGGGGATCTCTGAGCAACTGGGCTGGCTGGGACAAACATTGCTCCCATGCTGTCAGGATGGTGATATCCATCATGTTGTGGTGTGAACAGGCTCATACTTGGCAGGTGCATGGAGGGGGTAGTGGTGTAGGAAAAAATCTTTACAAAGGCCCAATCCCTGGGAAGGGGAGAAAACCATAAATGGTGGATTTCCAAGTGTCTCTGTCTTTCAGCCTGCTCTTTGTGCCATAATGTGTATGTTTTAAACAATGGTGAGGGTCTCGAAAGGCTTTGAGAGCACAGCTACTTCTCATTTACAGATGACAAGCTGCCTGTTGTTTTCTGGTGGGCTTGGTAGGGGCTAAGGTATAGCAGAATATCTAAAGTCCACCTTTGCTTTAAACAGATGCATTTCTATCTGCAGGAGTAAGAATTATTTCACTTATCAGCATAGCTGGACAGTTATCTATTTCTTTCTGTTACCAAGGTACTTGTAACTCTCTTGCACTGTTTATCTAAAGTTGAAATATGTTCTTTGAATCCTTGTATAAATAAAAAGGCTGGAGACAAATCTGGTTTTACAGGGCAATTATTTCTTCTCCATTTAAACCAAGTCTGGCTTTTCTTTCTTTTTCACTTGTCAAGGCCAAGATAAAGGCCAGGTCAGGAGCCCTGAGGAAGGAAACCATGTTGAGGCACAGGCTGGGCTGATGGCAGTGTTGGCAGCAGGGATTTTCCTGCATTCCTGCACCATTCAGGGGAGCAGCTGCTGGCTTCTGTGGATGTGTGTTTGTGGGAACAAGGTGAGCCTGACTTGAGGATCCTAAGTTACCTCTTTCTCATCTAGAAGCACAGAAAGTCATGGCATAGCAGTGCAGAAATCAGAAATGCCCTTGGTATTGGTCATGACAAGGTGTTGTGGCAATTACAGAGCATGGCTTTGCACCAGTGCAGCTGTTGGACAGCTCACAGGAAGCAGAGCAGCGAGGGGGATGTTGGAGCTCCAGCACGGGCCTGAGACTGGACTGGTGCAGCAGAAAGGTTTGTGCTCAGCTCCATCCACTTCCAGAACAGGGGGAATGCAGCTGTCAAGGTGAGGAGTTGGAAGCTGCTCGTGAAATGTCTGAGAGACTTGGTAACTGAAAACTAAAGTGTATCCTTCTGCCTGGAAGCAAATATCAGCTGCATTTAATAAACTGACTGATACCCTTGAGTGAGTAGGTATTTATTTAGGTTCCTCTCCTGCAGCTATTTGCACCACATCCACACATTTATATAAATATAACAAGTACAAAAATATTGGTCTTCTCCTTGGAGGTTTTGTGCACACCAGTTGCCTGCTTTGCCTCCTCAGTGTCAAATTATGATCTGAAATAACAGCCTCTTACAGCTTGGTGTTTACTACAGGTGTCTGCAAGCATTTCTGCAGTCCATAATGTCACTGAACACTGCATGTTGGCCACTTCACTGCTGGGAGCTTGAGGAGCTGGAGGCTGTGGTACCATCCCAGCTGCCCCTGGGCTGCAGCCTCACATCACTGCTTCCCCGGGCAGGGAAGCTCCAAGGGCTCCAGGAGAGCCCAGGCCAGCCTGGGAGCTCACCAAGGCAGGGGCAGACACTGTACAGGTACCAAGGCTGGGGGACAGGAGACAGCCATGGTGACAGGGGCTGCTGGCACTGCTGCCAGGGCCACCAAGACCAGGAATGCCCCGTGAAATCTGGACTGAGGCATCAAACCCCTTCTAACGAGGGGGGAGGCTCTCACCCTGCAGTTCAACATCTTCTTACAGAGGCAGCAACTGCCTTCACTGCCAGAAGATGGCATTTGTGTTTAACTTATCAATTCCTCCGTGTGTGGAGACAACTGCCCTGTTCCCACCTCCGCCTCTGCACACAGACACGGTGCAGGGAGGGCTGGGGGGAAGGGCCCCCCTTGGTGGCATGAATGACCATTCTGAAGTCAGCTGCAGGCAGGCAGCCAAAAAACATCCACAGCCTCGGAGAGAGGGAGCTCAGCTGCAGCCCCAGTGGAGCAAAAGTGACAACAAAGGTGCCCTGAGATGGTGTCACCCGGGTAACACCTGGATCAGTGCTGGAATGGGCTGAGGGAACTGGTAAACCAGTGACTCCCACCAGGCTTGTCTGGGGCATCCCAGAGCATCTGATGGGCTACTGCCACCCAGCAAATCAGTGAGGGTTCGTGGCACAGCAAGTGTGATGTCAAGTGAAACCAAGTCATGGTTTTGGTATGAACTGGAGTGTGCCCAGAGTGTCCCAGCACCCAGGGACTCTGCAGGGGCCCAGGAAAGGTCACTGATGGGTTCAGGCAGAAGGGTGAGCCCCTGTCAGAGGAAGGCAGGGCAGCAGCTCTTTCCCACGGTGTGGGGCATTGACGTGTGCCTGTCCCACAGGGGAGTCCGTGGCAGTGGCTGCAGAGAGGCTCCTTTCCTGAATGCCCCCATCGTGGCCTGGCAATAAGGGGTGTGCCATGGAATGTTAAGTTGGGCAAGAGTCACTGCCAGGGAAGGTCCAATATCCCTGGAAAGAGTGGCTGTGGAGGGGCCCAGGAGCCCTCCCCATGCTGCTGGGGTGGGCAGCATCAGGGGTCTCCTGTTGAGCTTTCTCCTTCCCAGACTGAACTGAGCCTCCTGGGGCCCTGCAGGAGCCATGGCCTGAGCACAGAAAGCAGGGGGGCAGGTGAATCAGCCTTCCTGTGCTGGGTAACAGGAGGGAACAGCATGCTCTTGTGCTTATCTGAGAGAGCTGAATCCCTTGGCCCCAGAGCCAACTTCTCACTGACAGGCTGCTGTTGGCACAAATGATGGCAGGTGTGTGGCAGGTCCAGTTCTCCTCCCTCCATGGTCAAATAAAAGCTCCTCCTTGTACCTCACTTCTTATTCCTGAATGGGTGGCATTGCACTTCGCAGCAGTCTGTGCTCTGCTGCTGCAACAGTTCAGGTTCATTTTTGTGTCAGGTTCATTTTTGTATCAGTCAAATGCTTATCTCATGAAAGCAAAGGGTTGAAGCAGCTCAGCCTCCAGGAAGCAGCTGGCACCTGTGACCAGCCCTGAGCACCTGCCCACACTGGCCAAGGTGACCTTCACCTGGCTGGGCTTGGCCCATCCCCACCCATCCTGTGCAGTTCAAACCCACGGCAGCACACTCAGGTGCAGGATGCTCTCTGCCCTGGCAGCACACCAGCAATTCTACTGAAGTCCAGAAAGATCAGCACTATGCTATCTGGCCAGCCTGGTAAATCATTTTCTGGAGCTTTTGTTGTAGGAAAGGGGCACCGAGAGGCTCTGGAAAATCACAGAATCAATCACAGAATATGCTGAGTGAGAAGGGCCCACAAGGATCATGGAGTCCAAGTCCTGGTGCTGCACAGAACATTCCCAAGAGTCACAACATGTGCCCAAGAGTTCAAACACTCCCTGAGCTCTCTCAGGCTTGGTGCTGCACCCACTGCCCCGAGCAGCCTGTTCCAGTGCCCAGCTGGACCTTCTCTGGGTGAAGAACCTTTTTCTAATATGCAACCTAAAACCACCCTGACACAACTTCAGCGTTGCATCCCTGCACCAACAGCACCACCAGCAGCAGCAGCATTCCCGTGCAGAACACAGCAGGTAAGCAGCAGCAGCATTCCCGTGCAGAACACAGCAGGTAAGCAGCAGCAGCATCATTCCCGTGCAGAACACGGCTGGTGTAAGCAGCAGCAGCAGCAGCATTTCTGTACAGAACACGGCCCGTAAGCAGCAGCAGCATTTCTGTACAGAACACGGCCGGTATCAGCTGCTCTGGAGGTAGCGACTGTACAAACCCACTGCCTTTCCAAGTGAGCTGTAGCTCCGAAAGTGCTTTCAGATTTCCCAGAGCAGCTCTCGGGATGCGGCCGGCACTAGGACCTGCCTGGAGCCTGTACGTGCCATCCCGTAGGGAGGGCTAAATAGAGCAGGGTAGGATTACAATGTGCAACACACCAGCAGAGAGCGGTGGCCGTGCCGGCACCGGGAGCCCCGCGCCGCCACCGGGGCCGGTGGGTGCCCCGTGCCCGCCGATGCCCCAGCTCTGCCCGGTCACGGCCTCGCTGCTGTTGGGCACGGCCAGGGCAGCGTGCGACGAGGAGCTGCTGTTGCGGGAGGGGGTGACCTTGTGCGTGAATGTCACCCGGCAGCAGCCCTGCCCCTCGCTGCGCGGCGTCCGCGCCATCCGCGTGCCCGTGTTCGATGACCCGGCCGAGGACCTGGCCCGCTACTTCGAGCCCTGCGGCGCCGCCATCGAGGCGGCCGTGCGGGCCGGGGGCCGCTGCCTCGTGTACTGCAAGAACGGCCGCAGCCGCTCCGCCGCCATCTGCACCGCTTATCTCATGAGACACCGGCAGCTCCCGCTCAAGGACGCCTTTGAGGTAATGTGTGACGTCCGGATTCCTATTTACAGCTCTTTTGGGGAAGAAACGCAATGCTTCTCATGAGTAATTTCTTGTAGAATTATTTTGGTGCTTCCTCCTGCCCCTCAGCAGTTATACAGAGATTCAACATTTCATTAAACAGTCCCCTGTAAGTTTTTTCATGCCCAGCTTGGTCTGGTAATTTTTCAGTGTGAGGTTTCTACATGTAGCAAACATACCAAGCTGGTTGCTTAGGGAGCATTTTCTCTATCATTTGCACATTCAGGGTAAGTGAAGACAGAGACCAAGTGAGTGGGTGCAGGAATTGCCGTGCAGGGTTTGCTGCTGTGTGCCAGCTCCTCACAGCAAGGAACATCCAGCCAGGCCTGCAGAGTGCCCAGGAGCTGCCAGCTCTCAGCCACAGCTACGTGGCTGTAAGCAATGATGTGTCAGCTTTCCTAGGAAACCCATCCAATACAAACTGCTTGTGTTCTCCGGGTTTTGTCTTCACCCATTTGTCACTTTAGACAGCCAATTTGCTTAATTTAGACTGAGGTGTGCAGAGTGACCAAGTTTCACACGATCGCCTTAAGCATGAGCAGTGTCACTGCACTTGGTGAGACTTTCCCATTTCCAGCAGATCAACAGCTCTGTCTGGTGTCTGGCCATGAATCCATTCTGTAATCAGGCCTAGCTGGCAGTTCCTAGCAAGCACACAGTGAAGTCAGCTCACCAAAATAGCTGTTTGTTACTCTGCAGCCAAATCAAAACCAAAGTAAAGCTTCTCTAAATTTTTAAGTTCAAAATTCATTTGCATGACTCCCACAAGTGCAGGATACCTTGCTTCCACTGTGTCTCTCCTGTTCTCTAGGCTGTGAAAACTGCCAGACCCGTAGCAGAGCCAAATGCAGGATTTTGGTCTCAGCTGCAGAGATATGAAGAAGAATTGAAGATACCAAAGCATTCTGATCCCCTGAGCAAAGGACTTAAAAATAGCAATGTGTGAAGATACTTTAAAGAAAGTGAAGTGACTTGCTACAGAGTTTAAAAAAAGGGAAAAAAATCACTCCCTAAATCACCTGTATGTAAAACATTTTACCCCCATAACTGAGATGATGTTCATTAAACTCCTTCAGAGCATTTCTGTTGGTAATGCATGGAAAGAGGGCAGATAAGCAGGGAATAACTGCAGAAACAGAAAATGGTTGGAAGGACTGTAAACAAACAGAGAAAGGCCTGGAATCTTCAGCAGTTATTTCCCCTGAGTATGGTAACAATGTACTGAACAAAGGAAGGAGTTACCACACAGGGATTTTATTCCTGGTTTTCAATTAAACTTCCCAGTGATGCCATTAGAAGACATGATGCCAGACCAAGGAAGTTCTGAATTTCTCTCTCACCTACTGGATCATTATTCATGTTAATGAGCTGACACAGCCGTTGGTGGGAAACTGACAGTGGTTGATGCTTTGTCTCTCGATTTTCCTTATGTTCAACTACAACAAAGCACCTTCAAAATTTCCTAAAAATCCAGAGGACAGAATATACAGGTGATGGTAAGGAGTTCTGCTCCCACCATGCAGGCTAAGTGCCTTTTCAGCTTTTGAAATTGTTCTCTAAAACACCAAAGGAATTATTTTAAAAACTGCAGATGATGGTGGAGGGAAGAAGATGACACTGGCACTCTAGAAGCAATCATGACTCCTTTTAGCTTTACTTACTCAGTCTGACAGGGCCCAGTTCATGCCTTAATGTGTTACAAGTCAGCTGTTCCTGCATGCAAGCAGCATGGCCAAATCATTTCTGCTGAGGCTGCTCACAGGCTGCCCTCTGAAATGATCATTGGGCATCAAACTTCCAGATCAGACTGCTACGTGTTCATCACCAGCCATTCAAAACAGAGTTTTGTCAAACTGCATGAACACTTTGTCATTTAAAAGGCACAACTTATGGAACCTGAGAACCTCAGGGTGAAATTCCACTCCACCATGCTGAAAGCATAAATACAAAGTAAAGTTAGCTCACTGCCATCTGCCTGAGTGCTCACACAAGGTAAACATATTCTCCCAGCAGTGGAGTCGTTTAAGGCAGAAATTCTAATGATGGAACAATGACAGAAAATCAAAACACTTGGAAATTACATGAATTAGACAATTCAGATGCAGTACAAGTTCCCAAAGTTAAAGACTGCTCAAAGTTAAAGTAGTGTTATTTTAAAAGCTGAAACCACAAGAATAAAAAATAAAATTTCAGGCTATCATTTTCTTAGTTACCACAAGGCATTTTTGCACCAGATGCTTTCTCCACTCCCATCTGTGTTTTGTTCATTCTGTATTGTTTACCTTCTGTATCTGCATTATAGCCAACAAGAAATTTGTTGCACATCTGCAGATTTGAAGGTGATTCTAGCAGATTCTGGAAACATTTTTGTAGCTTTTATAAACCTTGACTATCATATAAAATAAGAATTTCAGTATAACATAAGATGCTTATTAGAGAATTCCACTTGTTAAAAAATTCTGTTTGTCTGTGGAACAAAGTTTATTTCTTGTCAAAAGCTTAAGCTGCTAAACAAAAGAAGGAAGCTAAACATTAATGAAAACAAAACACATTTCTAACTGTGAGGCATATGAACTTGCAGTCAGATACAGCTATCAGTTCCACATGTTTGAGTCAGCTGAAATAGGAACCATTGCTCTTGAGTGTCAGCATATACTGCCCTCCAGTTAAATTTTACCAGGCTTCTCAGCATGCAGAAACCTTCATGGCACAGGATTTCACGTCACAGCATCTTCTGTAGAAAGCTATTTACATCTGAAAACCATTGCTATTTACATTGAAAGCCATACCTCCTCTCGGTACTGCTCCAAACTAAGGCATAGGATTGCAACTTGGAACCAGAATAAAGAAGCAGTTCACTTCCTTACTGGAGTTCATAAGCCACTGACACTACAGGTGATGCAGGGTGGGAGCTCAGACATACTCCTTGTTGCTTATGATGGTCTCAGAGTTCCTGGGGTACATGTGTGCCTGAGAAGGTCCCTGGGCTGCTGAGTATGCATACTTCTTGGGACTGTAAAGCAAGGAAAAAACATAGAAAATAAGAGAGATTATTTTGACACATGCCCATGGTTTCAGATACTTAGAAGTTACTCAGCTTTGTATCCAACCCACCGACAGCACATTCTCCACAACAGGGCAGAAATCAGAGGCCTCCTGTTCTCATGGTTGTGGTAGCTAAGGGGGAATGGATGGGGTCCCTGATGGCTGCACAGCATCTCTGAGCCACACTCTGCATTCCTGACTCCCATGTGCTCTCCTCCAGGCACTTCAGCCAAGGCCCTCAAGCAGAAGCCCTCAGCACCTTTGTACAAGCCGCAGGTTTTCATACAGGAATCAAGATGACAAAAAAAGAAAACAGCAGTACCTTCACCCTACCCCTTCAGCTGTCATTCATCATGTTGAACTTCTATTTCATAGCTCAGTTTTACCTGATTTTCAGGACACTTCAGGGCATTTGGTACTTTGTAACAAAGTAAGGTGAGCAAGATCTAAAGTCCAATGGGGCTGATGAAATATTACCATAAAATTGAAATGGTTTCAGATTAGGCAATGTAGTACCAGAGGAACACTCACTTACAACATTTTGATATAATTTTCCTAAGATTAAATAGACCAACAGTGAATATGCTTCTTCCTTGCATATTATAACCCTCTCAAGCTCAGCTAGTACAACCTCCAAGCTATTTGAGCTCTGGCAGACATGGACCTCTGCTATTTCTGCCTCTTTCATCCCTCTCCTTCAAAAAGAGGCCTTCTGTATGTGTCAAAATTTAAGACTGAAACAAGAAAGGAGGGAAGGTTAAATATTGAGGCCAGAAATCTCACCTTTCCTGATTTGAAGTGCAACAAGACACTTCTATAAAGAACAAGAAAAAAAAACATGTTTCTAGTGATCAATTCCACAGGCTTTGGGAAATGCCCTTACATTTTCTGCAAACTGAACAGTGTTTGAATATTTTACTCACAGTGAGTACTGCAGAGAAACTGGATCATAATTCGTTATGGGGGTTTATATTTTCTTTGGGTGACAGTTTGCTCTTTCACTGCCCATTTTCACCATCAGCAGTGCCCAGAATGACCAAGTACAAGTTAAAGGTGAGTGCTGATGGTGATGCACCAAGCACCCTGTCTGGGGGGCACAAGTGTTTGGCACAGCACCCCCTGCCATCAGCAGTCTGTGACATGCCACAGCACTGTCTGTAATTTATAGATATTTATACCAGGGGGTGACAGAGAGACAGAACAGTGCACAGGCAGAAAGTGGTGTGTGATTGACAGATGCTACTTCAACTGGCAAATCCAAGATTACCTGTAATTCTGGTTTTCCTTCCCTCTGCAGGAACAGGTCAGTAGGATCCCACCAAGTATATAAAGGACAGATCCAGTCCAGCCTAAGTACAGACCTTCTCCTAGTTCATACCTGAAACATGAAAGAATTTATGAAATCAGCTTATAAAAGGATCACAAAACCATGCAAGCAAATTCTAATTTGTGTAGAAATCAGCTAAGTGAAAGCCACTTCAGCAGTTAACAGAGACCAGATCTGGCTTTGTGTCTGCTCAGTAAAACTCTTATTTGTATGGAGCTGATCTGCAAAATTACTAACAGTACAGAGAGTACTAAGCAACATAAAGATAAGTAGCAATGAATAATTTAACAATATTTAACAAATTATTGATAATAAATAATAATGACAATCTTCTGTGCAATCCACAACACTTATTTTGCCCTTTTATTGGCTGTGTCACTGAAAGGATTTTGTGCAACTGAATCATTCAGATCTTACTGTCTGTATGCTGAGAGAAGGCTGACCACAGACATCAGTTTTCTATGGACACAACACTAGGTCACTTAAAAGTATGAAGTTTAGTTTTCAAACTATTTTCAATGAATAGGGCTCGTTTTCAAACTTAGATACCCTAAAGGATATTCAGCACCCTTTGTGGTTGTATGGCTGAAAGGCATTTATGAATGTCCCAGGCTGAAAAAGAGTAGCTCTCTATTTTACTGTCCAAAATATACCTTTCAGGAAACCAGTCCAAGAAATTAATTGATAATGAATTTGTCCCAAAGACTAGACACAACTGAGTCTGGAACAGTCTGGCAGGAGTTTCATAAAAGGAAGAAAACAAATTTTCATGATCAGACAAAAACTATCCACAATCCACCTGTATATCTCTGATCTGAGATACCCAATACAAGGGCAAAAAAAATGTCCTGGACTGCATTGAAGGTACTATGGAACCAGAGATTTGTGTTTTCTTTCCACTTTGAAACACAATTACTGAAAAGTGTCAAAGGTTCTGACTCTGGAGTTCATTGCTAACAGGAAGGATTCAGAGCTTACACAGGTTCACAGCTCTCTGTGTCTCACTGCACGTGGGAGCCACAAGGTCTCCACTGCTTCAGGTACTTCCAAACACGCAACAAGCAGAGAGTGATTATCAAACAAACCCAGGAGCACAAATTGCACATTGCCCCAGTGCCTGCAATCATTTCTGCTCACCAGTCACCTACAGACAAGAATGCTGTAGATGTCAGACCAAAGCAAAGTATATAGGAGATACTGCAGGAGAATTTAGTTTGCCTTCAGAGCTGTAGGAGAAACTCCTCTAAGAATTAGCAGACGTCAACATCAGTAATTTGCTGAAGTCAGACCAAAAAAATGCAATCTGAAAAACCAGATTTGCCAGCCTGTTAAGAGTGAAGATCAATACTGGCATGCCAGTGAATTTAAAATTGTCCCACCGGCTGCATGTTCAGCTTTACCAATGATCAAACTTAATTCATCAGCGAATCAATAACTTAAACATGAAGTTGAGATATGAAAAAAAAAATTCTTTAGCTACTGAATGCAAAGCTGGTAACTGATTAACAGGCAGTGATGATGAGCCCCAAAGCTGCAGCAGGTAACTATCAAACACACCAACTATCCGACTAACCGAAATTCCTTATCGACTGTTGTTTCAGCTCTCTAATCCATTTATTACCCTTCATATAGTTCTCTCAAGGGGACATAAAGCAACAAATGTAACTGCACAAATACAATTTATTTCTAAGCACTTCATTGAAAACCCAGGGAAAACTGACAAACAACAAAAGCAACTGCTTAAAGTACTTTGATTTATCACAAAGCACTTCACCTCTGACTTCCCTGAACTGTTTCCTGGGTGGGAACTTTACAAAACACTTCAAATATTAGCCTAGCAACTAACAATTCATAGTTTACTGATCTATGATTTATATACTTGGTAGAAGTATATTATAGCTGGCTCATATTCCACAGACAATGTTTCCCTCTCCTTTTCCCCCTTTCTGAAGGAGAGGCACAGTCACCTCTACCCTTGTTCCTCATTCCTAAACAGGGCACCTAGATAAGGTGCCATAAGCTGCCATTTGGTTTTGACAACTGTTACTTTTATATCAGACAAAGAGCAAGGGCTTTTATACCTCAAAACTTGTCTGTATGCAACTGCACTAGGTGATAATCCCACAAATTTTGCCTTGTTTTAACTCATAAGCCAAACAAATGTTGAGCTGTTAATATACAGACATATTTGACAGGCAGCAGATTTCTCTGCACATCTCTAGTACAAAGCTCGAGCTGCTTTGCAGGTGATTTTCCCTTGCAGGTACATCTGAGGTACTTTATTCTAGTCAGAACTTGAGTTTTGTACATATTTTGGTCTAAATGCCAAAGCAGATTAAGAATTTTTACCTTTTCTTCTTCATAACATTGAGATACACACCTAATTGAGTCTGTGAAGAAAATGCAAACACAGTACAAAACCCCCTCAGATGTGGGGTTGGCATTCCTCTCACATTCACTAACTCTTGCAGAAAGACCTCTCCTCCCTCCTCACCAATATCTCTGAGGTGAAAAGATTCCCTGAATACAATTTCTCCCTCCTGTAGGACTGGATAGTGGGATCCATCCAGGTTCTGAAACTCTGGAGCAGCTGAGGTCAGTGCAGCTGTCCAGCACACGATGGGGTTTGGTATGACAGACACATTCACTTACTTGGTTCCAGCGTACAGTTGGTCAAAAAACTGAGCAGTAACCATTGCAGCATACCAAGAAATAGCCACCATGGAGCAGAGACCTACCAGAAAAAGTTTAAAAAGCACACAGGTGAATGATTCCATTAAGGGCTGTAACAGATTTAAAACAAGAATGTTTATTTCATTTAGTCTGGCTGTGAAAGCCATACAAAGTGTCAATAGTGCTCTCATTTCAGTTTCAATATTACCTCCTAAAACGAAAAGAAATCCTCCTGTGACAGTAAACTTCATTTTTCCATCTTCATCACTCAACCCAATGTTTGTGCACTTCATACCAAGCAGTGTGAGTACAGCAGCTAAGAATCCCAAAAGGATGGAAGTAATCATCAGGGCACGGCATGCCTGAATGTGAGCTGAGACAGAAAAAGAGAAAACAAATCAGGATCTACACAGAAATTACATATAATCAATCTTGTGCTGAAAGAAATAAAAGTGATTAGAGGAAGTGACAAAACGAATAGGTACAGTAATGAGTGAATCTTGTCCAACTTTGTCACATGGCTCAGAGAGGCCTCCAAACCCAAGTGTGCTTAGGAAGCCTCCAAACCCAAGTGTGTTTAGCCTTCAAGTCAAACAGATTTGAGAGTTGAACTATGCCTACACTTTATAAGCTCGGTAAATCTTCTTGTCTCTTCTTGTGTCTTTAGTAAACCCTGAAGAACTGCAGCAAGCCACTCATCCCTCATTCCTGTGGAAATGCCCAGTGGTACACATGGCCACTTGCAGGAGCAGGAAGAAGTCTCCTACTCACAAGTGTTTCTGAATTCCTGACACGTGCACAGCTGAGTGCACAGGACACATCTGAAATCCAGGTGATAGTCAAGCTGTGCAAGGCCCTGGCACTGCTGAGGAACTGGAGAAAGGTGCCAGCTTTGCTGCTGCCAGGGAGAGATGGGAAAGAATGGAGCTCAAGTTAGCAGTACACTTCAAACTCAGTGTAAGGAGCAGGGCTGAGTGTGTCAGAGAGCTGCAGAGCTCCTCCCTGGGACTCTCTCCTGTGCAGAGGTTACAGCTGCTGTGGGCACCTTAGGGAGTCTGCTGTGCTGGAATTGTGTGTCCTTTAAGCTCCTGGTCTTCACATCTAGGTATCAATCGCACAACAACCAGGACTAGATTATTAATCAGCCTAAGAAAGAAGGTGACATGGGGACTTTGGGGTCCTTTAACATGGCAGCCTGTGTTTGGCAGGCTCCAGGTCCAGTGGCATTTCGGCACCTTTGTTGTGAGGTAAACATGTCAAACGTCACAACCTGGCAGGGTCACAACTGCTCACTTTGTTCACTTGATTGACTTCTCTTCCAACCTCAATGATTTTATGACTCTACAGTTTCAATCCTACGTCAGAAGGGTCAGACCTGATTCCAACTGGACACTCACATCATTGATGCCAGCATTCAAGCTCTTGTTCCCCGACCCCCTCCACATCCTCCACAATAACCTGCTGGGCTAGTTCTGTCTGTCTCCAGACAACAAAAATCAGACACAGAGACAGAAGGCAAAGTGATTCTCACACTCCAACTCAGCTTAATGTGGCTTAAGAGTACTGGTCCTTCCAGCTTTAGAGTTGTCAAAGGTAGCAATGAGCACCCATGAGATAAATATACAGAATTAAAGGCTAAAATCATTTGAGGAGTTAATGCTTTGTTAAGCACTAATTTTATAATTTCCATGGAAAAAAATGAAGACAGTAATAAAAGTGGAAAGACCCCTCAAAATATCACTAACAGTTCAAGGCTTTTGCCTGCAGAAGATACTGTTAGGTAAGTACTCATCAATGCTGCTTTCAGGTGTGGGATCTTTCACTGTGCCAATCATCCAGCAGAGTTCCACAACTCACATTTCAGCTCCTGGGGACTCCTGCAGTGTTAGGTGGGATTCCCCATATCTTTCCAGGACACACAAGCATACTCTTGTTTGCAATCCAATGGGAAAGGATTTCATACAATTGTACCACAATACCATAACCTCAGCAGCCTTAACTGAGGACTTTAGTTCACAATTCAGAAAACTCAAATTTTTATTTTAAGCTTAGCTTATTTAACAAGATGCAAAGTCAGTGCATTTTATTAGTCCACACCAATTGTAAGAAATTATTTCCAAATCCTGTCATTGGAAAAAACACCTATGGAACTTTAAAAAGAAGGGGAAGGAAAAAAAAGGGAGTTTACAATGCTTTGGCAACTAGTTATATCAAATGTTTGGCTTAGTTGTGACTAGACAGACAGTGCTAGCCATATGGACTAGCCAGTCATGGTTTCAATCTTGTTCAATATTGCATTTAAAAAGCTCCTCACTTCAAATATTTAGACAAATGGTACAGTGAACTCAAAAGCATTAAATTGGTTTAAAATAGCCAAGCCTGTCTTTTCCCATACATAAAGCAAAATCCAGAACTATTCCATATACCTCAGTTGCAATAAGGAAACTTTCAAGGAAAATCTTCATTGACCATCTGATAAGAGGTAACAAAGACACACTTTTGTTTTTCCTTTTTGCCCTCCCTCCAGTCCCTGACGTCCTGGCAGCAGTTTCAGTTGAGTTTCTAAACAGGAATTTGAAACACACCTAAACTGACCATGGTAATTTTTAATCTGCCTTGGTTCATGTCTGCAAGCACTATGGCTGTTTCTCAGAGGTCCCACTGGCTGCTGAGCCCTTGTGCCAAACGCATTCTCTTCCTCTTTCCTGCTTTGCCCAGCTGGCCTTCCAACTGTTCCTGCTATCCAGTGTCTTCTGACTTCTCTTTTTCAGCTTTCCTTTCTAAAAATGTTTTATCTTCACAGTTTTGCAAGGTTTCCCTTCTGCTTCCCCCTGCCTTTACCCCTCAACTATACTGCAGGACTGATCTCTTCAACAGAGCAAAGCTAATCCTCACAAATTCACTTCAGAGCCTGTCCCAGTCATTCACTTTCTGCCCCCACTTTCCTCCTTCCTGCTGACCCCACGTTGTTATCTGTAGCTCTGTAGCTCTCAGGAGCCCTGCTGCTGCTTGCCTTCTGTTCTGTTTGCTTTAACACTTGTGGTGCTCTTCTCTGACCCCCACCAGGTTCTTTCAAACCCATTTTTTCTCCAGATGCTGATCTCCTGCAGGCCCATGGCCCAGATCTGCACATACTCACCCCATGTAAACACATCAATGACAAGATGCTGCCTGGAGTCACTGGCACCAAGCTACAAACCAGCCCTTGGAGTGGTTTTTACAAGAATAAATCAAATCACAGAATCAATAAAGCTGGCAAAGATCTCTCAGACCATCAAGTCCAGCTACTAACCCAGCAGTGCTGGTGCACACTGACATAGGTGATCTGCAGAGAATAAAGTCTGATGGGATGATCCTGCTGTTACTGAGGCTAAAAAGCTTAAATAGGGTTATGCTCCTCTTCATACACACACACTCTCTCTCTAAAAGCAATTGTTAGAGAAGACTGAAAGATGAAAAGAACAGATTATTCCCTAAATACTGAACAGCTTCAGAGGAATTGCTATGCAAGTGTTAGAGCTGGTCAACAACAAGCCTTCACTTCAGATTGAGGGAGAAAGTGAATTTAACACCTCATTCCCACTAATCCCATATTACACATTCTTCAGATTAGGAGTATCCTCCTACCTATTTAGTTTAGCCACTTCCTAGGGCAGATTCAGCTAGAAGGAAGGCATTTTTATTCCAAATAGGTATCTATATACTGAATTATTCAGGATTAATAAAAAAATAGCTTTATTGTCTATAAATATGCTTTACTATCCACAGACTATCACCTAGTTGGGCATTTGAGGACAACCACAATTATGATGAAGACTGATGCAGAGGACAGGGGCCAGCAGATCTTGAATTTTTTGATATTTAAAACCACATCCAAATAGACTTTAGTTACTGTCATTTAACTAACTGACAGTAGGTAGCATTAGTTGACAAGCCTAAAGATATATTAATTTATAGCATATATTCCTTCTATAACTTATAATATGTAGAGCATATTATCATGTGTTTCTTGGATTATCAACAATTTTCAGTCTCAACTCACAAAAAACCACTACCACTTCTCAGCTAAAACCAGTATTTCCTATTACATTAAAAACTCCAGCCATGGTACATTAGCTATGAAGTATTGCAAAATAAGGTCTGTACAATAATTCCAAATAAATAAATACTTTAAAATGTCTCCTACTAAGACATCCCACGAGATGCTAGAGATTACAACCCATTTTAAATGCTTGTTAAATGCTTGATCAACCGACTTCATTTGCTTTAGTTTACAGCCACACATTGACACATTCTGCTGCTTGAGAGATTTTTATTACTTCAGCCCACAAAGTCCTTCTTGGCCAGTTATTTTTCCAGTATTAGCAGATTCCTAAAACAAAAGCCTTACTACTTTTGGCCAAGAAGTTTTTAAGCAATACAAACAAGGCTGCACAGAGTCACCTACCAGGCAGTGCAAGCATAGAGTCAAAATCCCTGCAGTTGGAAACTCCAGTGCTGTCTGTGGCACAGCTCTTCCACAGGTTTTCAAACAACGTAGATGTTGTGATCACAGAACCATGGAGGCTGGAGACCTTCCAGTAATTATTTGGCAAAGTAGCTCCAATAAATGCCAACCCGCCCAAGGATAAAATAAAACCAACAATTTCCAATGTAGCAGTCATGTTTTGAGTAGTAACAGTTAAATGTCCTTATAATTAGATTACAATCAAGTGAAGCTTTCAGAAGCCTCCTTGCTGTTTTATCTCTGGGTTTCGCTCCAAAATGAGTCTACCTTTGCTCTTTGCTCTTTCCCCATAGATAAGGCTTGCTGGGCATGACAATAAGAAGTGGGAGTAGTTCATGATAAAAATATAAGCGTGTAAAAAAAGTGACCACATTAATTCTTTTTCTAATAGGAAGTGAAAAATGAGCCTTTTCTTTTTCTCAGTCTAGAAACTCCAGTCAGTATTTCTACAAAATACCTTGTAAGAGTGATAATATAGGCAAATATTTTATTGCTGTCTCTTTTCTGAAGTCAACTAGATTTTACACTAGATTAAGATTGCTTGTAATTTTATTTTTGCTGTCAAATCAAAAAGCTTTTGTGCAATATTCTCTTGAGATTTCAAACATAAAACAGCTTGAGGACAGAATCTTTATACTTCTGCTAGAAAATGTAGCAGTTTTTGGAGTTATGGTCATAAGTAATCCACAACAACTGTACTGCCAGCTTCCTTCAGGAAGGTAAGGTTTATGGATGAGTGGTTTCCATTAATATTTTACTGTCTATTTATCTACAGCTAAACACATTCAGTCTTAAAAACCATCCTGCTTACACTGTACAATTGTGCAATGTATTAAAATTGCAATAATGTATGTGCCATGGAATTGAAATGTAAGGAAATGAAAGAGCTAGTGTGACAGACCTGTCTCAAAAGGAATCAAATTATGAAGAAATACAGCTATAAGAAAAATAATACATCTCAGCAAATTGCATCTGTTTGTTAGGATACCTTAGGATTAAAAAAAAAAGCTATTCTAGGCAAAGCATATGTTAAATTCAGTTTAGTTGCTTCTGCTCTTGGCTAGATAGAATTATAGCCTCAATTCACATCACCCACTCATGTTAATACTTTAAAGTACTTGTGGATCCAAACGTGGTTAACCATCTTTTGCAGTGATAACCTGCCCTTATCTCCAGGAAATGGAGTCAGAGTTTCTTCATAAAATAATTCTGCTATGATGCAACATGGTAACAGTTCCACAGCATTTATGTAAACACTTCCAGAAGGGTTAGCCTTTGAGAGAGCCCAAACTTGTCCCTAACAGGTTTTTGTTGTTTTCCATCAAAATTCACTGTCACTTTGAGCTGATGCTGTGGGTTGGGAGGTTCAGCTGCCAAAGGTATTACAGTGCCACTGTGACATTTTGGCTCCCATGGCATTCAAGAGGATCATTGCCACTGATTTAAACAAGACCAGATTTGGCAGTGGGATCCTGTGCAATCTTTTAAGGAAACCAGCTAGTGTGTGGTAAGAATTGATCTCAGGTGACTGTTACAGAATCCCTTCCTTCTGCTTAGTCACTGCAACTTGAAAAATGATGGCATAGTGAAATGAACACACTGTACCAGTACCTGGAGTATCTGCATTTCATTAAAAGCCCTTCAAAGAGTTTCCTGCTAATTTCCCCATATCCTGGTGCTATGCTGGTGAGCTCAGCAATCACTTCTGCTGACAGCAGAAGGTGAGAGAGCTGGGACCTTGAATCAAGTGTCCACAGCTGTTATATTGCTGGCAAGGATAGAAATAAAAAATGAAGAGTATAATTTTTTTTTAAATCTCTTCCTAGTTAAGAAATGTATTCCAACAGGCAGTCACAAAGCACCACACATATAAACAGAAAAGATTAAACTGCAGACCTGAAGTGCATGAGTGTTCCTATACAGAACCAGGCATTTTGATAATTCCCTTCAGGAAATCACTCTCCAATGTGTTAAAGACCACAAGGATATTCTTCAGTAAATTTTGTAAACTGTGGCTTGTCAGGCAATGGGCATAACAGCCAGTGCTGCTCTGCAGGAGGCTCTGCATCAGCAGGGCTTAAGAGCTGGTGTTGACAGCTTCACATCAGCACCTCCCACAGCTTGGGAACCAAGTGCTGTCATTGTTGGCCCCATCTCATCACTCTGATTTCCAGAAACTTAAGGCATCCTGGTACCTACACAGAGGAGGGCCTGGAGAGGAGCTGAACAGGTACCAGGATGATGTGAAAAGCTGACATTGCCTCTGATGCAATGAGCCATGTATTTAAAATCCTTGGAAGCATGTGATTAGGCTCCTTTTGAGCCTACAAACTCTTTTGGCCTCATTATGGATGCTGATACTTAAACTGGCCTCCTCATGATGAAGGTAGGTGAGGCCACCCAAGTGAGGGCCCTGCAGAAGAACCACGAACATGCTGCATCTTGAGAGTTAAATTCTCACCCTTTAGACATCTGCCTTGCAGTTAGGCAGCTCTGACTCCAAGGAAGTCCACATCTGTGTCAAGGAAAACAAAGTTCATAGTCTGTGACACGTGGTATTTTTAAGGTTTAAGCACTGCACGTTCAGAATAAAACTGCTGGAAGAGACCAGACAAATAGCAGTGACAGCAATCAGGAACCTATAAAGCACGGAAGACTTGAAGAAATGATATTAACAGCACTCATAAAGTGACTGCACAAAACTGAAAGTTGTAAAACAATAAATGCAAGGTTCTGTTCAAGACAGAAAGCTTAACAAAATACTACTTCCAAAAGCTACAGTGTTACTGTTTCTACACTCAGTCTGCTGAGGAAAGAACTTCAATGTCAGTCCTTCCTAGTCCTTTACCATAAAGACAGTGTTTATAGAAAGATACTGTTAAAATCCAGAATGATTCAAGCTAATACTCTCCAGCCCCTACTGAGACATTTCTTCTCTTTCTAGCTGCAGATAAACTACCCTGCTGGCATGGCTGACCCTAGAAAACACAGAAGCATCCATTGCACGGATGTATTTTAGTCTAAGCTCACCACTTCTGAGAAATTCCAGAAAAAAAATCCAGATACACAGGTTTAGCACAAAGTATCAAATCAGTTCTGGGATATCTAATAATTGCTGTCTCACACCAAACCACAAATACCAGTGCTCATGGAACTATGATCTGCTTGTATTGAAAAACTAGGCTGAGTGAAAAGATGCTATTTCTTCCAAAACTATATTTTAAAAAATTCTCAGATTTACTGCACATCACCCATACCTCTTTGTCAACACACCAGAGAGGGCAGCAAAGCCACAGCAGTGAGTGAGCTGAACTGCAGGGTGAAACACTGGTTCCATGGTGGCCCTTTAAACTGGATTTGGCCATACAAGACATGCAGCCCATACTGGGCTGTTCTGACTCCTCCAGGGCATGGCTGCTCCCTGATATCCCATCACAAAGATGCAGGGACACAGGTTACAATGTGCTACCACCTAGAGCACACACATGTGCACCCCTGCAATCCTTAGGCTGCATTTTGGCTGCAATGGTTTTTTTGGTATGTCATCATTGCAGAGACAGGTTTTGGTATACAGGGATTTTATCTTGCCCTAACCCTTCTCATTCTTTTGTATACACAGGGCAAGCACACCACACTGAGAAACAAAATTGAAAGCTGGAGGTTTTTTAGTTCAGTGAGAGACACTGATGGAGAAAAGGCAAATGGAAATAAAGCCCAGAGAACTATAAAGCACAGAGAACATTAAAGCACAGAGAACTGCAGTGCCCTCTGGGACAACTGCACTCTGAGCCCCCCAGCCTGCCAACACCCTGTCCAGAAAGAAGGAACCAAACCCCCAAAAAATCTTGGATTTTTTGAACAAATGCCATGACAGCTGAGTTCACTTACGGTCTGAACTCAGCATGTAGAGAAATTTCTTGCACTGAACTGATCCAACAGCAGTTGCTGCACAGTCCATCCAAAGACCTTCAGAAACCCAGTCTGCAGAAACCAGCTCTGTTGTGGAGTCCAAAACTTTCCAGCTGCTGGACATGGTGGTAACAAGTAATGTAGTGAATCCTGCTAAAGCCAGCAGCAATGCACAGATCTGTAGACAGGATGATGCCATTGTGACAGAAGTTTTCTTCAAAGATGTTCCCCACAATTATTAGAAACCTGTTAAAACAGTTCATACACACACATGGCATTACCTTTACACAAGCCTGACCTTTGCAAAAACATTAAAAAATGCCTACCTATAACAAAATGTATCACACAAGGGAACTGAAGAGGTGGAATCTGTTCCACCCTAAATGGAAATCCCATCAAGTAACTGGAATAATTGAATATTCTATACCTTATTTTTTCTTAGGAAAACTTTTATTGTTGTTCACATTCACCACAAAATAATGCAAACAGAGCAAAAGCACAGGAGACAACCAAAGGATTCTCTTATTTTAATTTGCAATGTTTCATCCATTTCCTTCTTGTTTGCTAACTCAAAATTCATTTAAAAATGAAAACTATCAAATGCTTTAGTAAATTGTTCATCTCCCAGTTACAATATCTACCAATACAAATTAAAAGCAAGATAAATTGTGATACTCACGTTTATGGAATGTTTCTAATCTGTTTTCTCTACCTTCCTGCAAGATATTAGTGTCAGCACTTTGTGAGGACCTGTTTGATCACCCAAACAAAAGTTTTGTACTCTTCAGGACCTTTGTCCCATTCTAAAAATCAAGGACCCAGGGTCAAAGCTCTGGCCAAATGTTACACAAAGATCTGGCATGTCGAAAGGGAAAAATACCAGGAAATAATGTAAATTAGTACCAAATATACTCAACTTAACCTGGCATATAATTTGCTTTGTCAGGGCCACTGAGCTGCCCAAGCACCATCAGAGTGCAAAGCACTGCAGAAACATTGCTACACCGTCCACTTCTGGTTTACCTGAAACTTTTTATGCATTTGTTTTAGGATGCATCCTGAAGATGAAATATGCAGCTGGGCCCCTGTGCAGGGGATGACACTAAGAACCCAAAGTGTTTGTGCCTGCAGCCATGGCCTGAGGCAGGACAGAGCTCCTGGGCTCGTGGCTGAAGGAGACTGGCAGCCTGGGACAGCTCTGCAGCCACTCTGCTGCTCTTCCTCCTCTCGCTGTCCTCCTCCCTCATCACCCATCCTGACCCTTTTCTACCACACAAACCCCACAGGACTGTCCAGATCATCCTTTATTCCAACAGCACATCCTTCAGCCCATGCCATGGGCACCCTGCCCCACAGGACCTGACTGTACCAGCTGTCACACAGTGCCCTGGTTATAAGTCTGAGGTGATGGCACAGCTGATAGCAAATATGCACTGCAACTGTCCAAAGGAGAATGACAATAAACCAAAAAGGAATAAACACACAAAGTCCAGAGCATCTTCCCTCACAAAGTACACATATAGGCTATAAGCAGGTAAGAGCTGTAATGTTATAAAAACAAACCCTGGGGGAGCAAAAAGGATCACTGTAACAACATCAAAAACAGCACAGCCAAAATGTATGAGGTTTGAACACAGCACAGGAAGGGTTAGCAAAGAAAAATATTGAAGTCATCTAAATAAACAAATTACTCCTGATAAGGCCTTTGGAAGCAAAAATGAGTGGCAAAAGTGTCTAAAATGGAAAGTTAAAAACCTCTTTTACTTCTTTTTTATTTTGTTGCATAGAAAAACAGAGAAAGAGCATTGATTACAACAATGGCTCCCCTTTATATATATACATTTCTAACATCAGCAATATACATCTTTGAACCTACTAATCACTTCTTAGTTCATGCAAATTCTGAGCTGACCCATGGCCACCAGCACAATCAGAAAGAGATAAAATGCAAATTTAAATATGGTACTAAACCATTTAGAGCAGTTTCCTACCACAGCTCACAGAGGATTTTTCTCGTCAGAGACTGACCTTGGGGTGAGAAGGCAAAATCTTTTCACTACTAGTTAGGGGAAATAAAAAGAGAAAAAAAAAAAAGAGGAACAATGTTAATTCATTTCCTAGCACTTCCAAAGAATTTGACTTTGTAATTTTGCTCCTGAAGTTGTCATAACATCTTAATAAACTAATCAGTCTTATAACTACTTGCAATTATAATATGCAGATCGCTCTCATCTTGCTATTAACTTTGCCTTCACATCATGAACTACAAAGTAACTTGGGGCCACACGGATGCCAAGCTCCCACTAAAGCAGAGTTTCAGTGCTGGCTCAGGTCACCCAAGCCTTACCCAGTCACAACAGAGGGGTCTCCAGCGCTGGGATTTGCACAACACTCTCCTGTGGAGCGTGTTCCTCTCACATATGCAGAGCTTTTCCTGCTGCAATACGTGACTGCTGCTTCTTGTCCTCCTTGTCTGCCCTTGAGATAAACCTCTGTGCTTTCTGCTGCTGGATTTTGGCAGCTCTGAACTCAGCCTGGTGGCCCAGGCATGTCTGGCATCGTGTAGGTGGCTTTGCTGTCCCATGAGTATGGCCATGGCAAAACAGGCAACCAGGAAGGTGCATGTAACATCTTCAGACTCACAAGCTACTTTCAAAGCAAACACCTTTTCTGCTTTCCCATTTAATTTCAGGAGGCTGGTGGTGTGTACAGCAGACTGTTCTCTGCTAACACAGCTCTCCAGCCCTGCAGAGCTCTGCTGGCATGGAGAAGGTGCTGGGAAGGGCAGCACAGTGCCAGAGAGCAGGCACCATGGCTGGCAGCAGGGGCACCACAGGGGTAACCGTACCCTGCTCAGGCATGTGTGGGTAACTACAGAATCGTAGAACCACTGAGATTGGAAGAGACTTTTCAGATCACCCAGTCCAAATGTCCACCCAGCACTGCTCCTGTACCCCTAAGCCACTAAACCACGTCACCCAGCCCCAGCTCCAGACACCTGTTGAGCCCCTCCAGGGCAGGGACTCCATCACCTCCCTCACAACCTGTCCTGACGCCTGACCACTTGAACAGGGAAAAATATGTTTTAATATTTAATCAGATTCTCCTGCCTCAGCTTAAAGCCATTTCCTCTGGCCCTCTCACTGCAGACATGGCAGAGGAGGCAGGCCCCATGTCACTACAGCCTCCTGCCAGGGGGTTGTACAGAGTTGTACAGAGCAAGGAGGTCCCTCCTGAGCCCCTGGAGACTGAACAGCCCCAGCTCCCTCAGCCACTCCTCATCACACAAGGGTTCTAAACCCGGCTCCCTCAGCCACTCCTCATCAGGTGTTCTAAACCTCTCTAAATCTTGGTGCCCTTCTCTGGACATGCTCCAGCACCTCAATGTCCTTTTTAAAGCGAGGGGCCCAGAACTGCATGCAGAACTCGAGGTGTGGCTTCACCCATGCTGAGTACAGGGGATGATCACTCCCCTGGTCCTGCTGGCTAAACTATTGTTGACACAGATACAGGGAAGAGACCTGAAGGAGCTGGTGGGGTGGGAATCTGGCCACCCAGCAGCCCTTTGCTGGAGCAGCCCGGTGGTGAGGTAAGGTGAGGTAAGGTAAAGTAAGGTAAGGTGGGGTGAAGTGAGGTGGGGCAGGGCAGAGGAGCCCAGGGAGGGAAGGTGCTGAGGTGTGGCAAGGTGATATGGAGCCACACATGGAGCAAGGCAGTGCTGAGGCAGCAGCTCCAGCCTCCACTGCCCCTCCTGGGCTGCTGCAGGCTAGGAAGAAACAAGCTCTGCCTATTCCATAAGGCTTCTAGAGGGCAGTTCAATAAATCAGCCCTGCAGAGAGACCTTGATAAATCAGAGGGCTGGGCAATCACCAGCTGTGTGAGGCTTAAAATGGGAAAGTGCTGGATTCTGCACCTGGGATGGGAAAACCCCAATGTACCTACAAACTGGGGAACAAAATCCTGGAAAGCAGTGTCACAGAAAGGGACCTGGGGCTCCTGGTCAGTGCCAAGTTGAATATGAATCAGCAGCACCCTGGCAACCAAAGAGGGTCAAGTGTGTCCTGGGAGGCAGCAGGCACAGCATCACCAGTAGGGCCAGGGTGCAGATTGTTCTGCTCTGCTCTGCTCTGCTCAGAGACAGCCGCACCTCGAGTCCTGGAGGGTTTTGGGCACCACAATATTAAGAAGATATTAAGTTATTCCAGAGTGTCTACAGGAGGGCCACAAGGATGGAGAAGAGCCTTGAGAAGCCATATGAGAAGAAGCTGAGGACACTTGGTCTGTTCAGCCTGGAGACCTCATGGCAATTTCCTCGTGAGGGGAAGAGGAGGGGCAGGCACTGAGCTGTGGTGGCCGGTGGCAGGACCCGAGGGAATGGCCTGAAATTGTGTCGGGGCAGATTTAGGTTGGCTATTAGAGAAACGTTCTTCATTCAGAGGGTGGCTGGGCACTGGAATAGACTCCCCAAGGAAGTGACCACACAACCACGCCTAACAGAGTTCAAGGAGCATTTGGACAACACTCAGGGGTACACGGTGGGATTCTTTAGGATGGTCCTGTGCGGAGCCAGTAGCTGGACTCGATGATCCTTGTGGGTCCCGTCCAACTCAGCATATTTGATTCCGTGAAATCACGGCAGCCCCGGGCTCACGGCGCCAGCGCTGCCCAC